TGACGACCGTTCCCGACAAAACCAACCCTCGCTGGGACTTGTTCATCCTGGAGCTCAGCTCCCGGGGGAGCCTGAGCTCTGCCGCTCTCCTGGTTTGGCTGGATAAACCCGAGCGGGTCTCTGCGGGCTAGACAACAGCAATGACAGAATAATAATAATAATAATAAAAAAAATGATTTCCTCATGTCTTCCCTCTTGGCTCATAGAGGTGTCCTGGGGAAAGCTGGCAGGGAAAGCTCCAGCTGACTGGGGCCCTCCAGCTGCTCTGAAGTGCAAACCAGTAAGAGCTCAGCGGTGGGGGCTAGGGGGGATCGCTCTACTGGGAAGGTGGGAAGGGGGGGCGCAGCCCCCGGCTCTTGTTCTCTGTTTTTTCTCCTCACCGGAGCTAGACCCTTGACCAGCCCCAGTGTCCAGATTGTGCTCGTCTCCCTCCAGCTTCGCTGGTGTCTGGGGTGTCAGCACAGGCTTTGAGCCCCCTGCACGCAGGAGCTGCGATGGAGAAGACGGGGAACATCTCTAAACTGCTCCCCCGACTGCTTTCCCGGTTGGGTGGGGGGTGAGCCTTGACCACCCCAGCTCCGTCCTCGCTGGGCAGGAGGGGAAAGAAAAGACAGAGCGTGAGCTGGCAGGGTTTAGAGGCAGCTTTATTTTCTGGTGAAGGGGTGCAACAATTTCCTGGTGAAGCGTTGAAACGATGCTGCCCAACCTGCCCGAAGGCTTGCAAAAAGGAAAGTGGAAGCTGCAGGGAGCAGCTCCGGACACAAGGTGGGTGGTTCTCCCCGGGCAGGACTCAGGCTTCAGCCACGATGAGGTCCCTGGTGACTTGGAAAGCTGCGATGAGGGAGCTCAGCTGGATCTTTTCACTGGTCCCAGCAGCCAGTCGGTACCTGGAGCAGGGTGGGGGCAAGGGCAGGTTCAGGTGTTGACACCAGTGTCTGCGTCCCCACACAGGGTGGTAGCGGTGACCCCTGAGCCCGGGGTGTTTTTGGGGCATTGAGGGAGCCGACACTTACTCGATGTCTGCCATTTTGATCAGCAGCTGGATGCGGATTGAGGGTGGGAAATCGACTGCGGAGAGAAAGGAGGGGGTGTGCATCGGCACGGGCCGGGGGGACACACGGTCCTCCCGGGGGCCAGCCTGCCAAGCTCCTACCTCTGTGCACGAAGAGGTGGATCTCGGTGAGGATGTCCTGCAGGGCCAAGCCCTTCAGCGTCTTCAGCTCGGTGATGTCTGAAGTGGGAGCAAGTCAAGGGCTTCCTTCTGAGCCTTTCCCCACGAAGATCCCGCTCCTCATCCCTGTCACAGCCCTCCCCAGTAAGCAGCACCCACCCCTGCCAGAGCGGGAGGTCAGAGGACAGGGGAAGAAAAAAAAAAAGTATTTATGGTAACGCCAGGGCTGATGGAGAGGAAAGGATACTGCGGTAGGCGGTGGAAAAGTCCTGGTTCAGCATCCAGTCGAGGATGTTGGCAATGTCAGACTTGAGGGGGTGCCCCGTG